GGGGCTTGTATCTTACCCCCTTCACAAGGCGCTGGGTTCTTGCAGGTGTGGATGTGGTCTGGATGTTGTCCTGTGTCCTGTGGTCTCTATTTTAGGAAGATTTTTCTTTGTTATATTTTCATAGCTCTATGTGTTTTTGGGAGGAGATTTCCACTGCTCTACTCACGCCGCCATCTTGGCTCCGCCTACCATTTAAATTTGAAGGAGGAATTAAACAATTTCCAGATGAGCAAAAGCTGAGAGAATTTACCTCCCACAAATCATCTCTACAGTGTATTTTGGAGGGACTGCTATAGATGGAAGTGTTCCTAAGGTTTAATAGCTGTCATCAGAGGAAATAAAACCACAGTAAAGAAAGTTGAACAGTTAATTACTAAGCAAATGCAAAATTAAATCAACTATTCCCAAAGTCAATCAAGGGATAGACAAAGAGGACAAAATATGATACCTAATATATAAAGAATGGAGGAGGAAGAAAATGCAGGACAAAAAAAGAACCCTTAGATTGTGTTTGTAATAGCATATTGAGTGAGTTAAGTTAGACTCTTAGATAGTAAGGAAGTTAACCTTGAACTTTTGGTAACCATGAATCTAAAGCCTGCAATGGCAATAAGTACATATGTATCGATAATCATCCTAAATGGAAATGGACTGAATGCACCAATCAAAAGACATAAAGTCACTGAATGGATAAAAAAACAAGACCCATCTATATGCTGTCTACAAGAGACTCACTTTAAACCCCAAGACATACACAGACTAAAAGTGAAGGGATGGAAAAAGATATTTCATGCAACTAATAGGGAGAAAAAAACAGGAGTTGCACTACTTGTATTAGACAAAATAGACTTCAAAACAGAGGAAGTCACAAAAGACAAAGAAGGACATTACATAATGATAAAGGGGATCAATCAAACAAGAAGATATAACCATTATAAATACGAGCACAGGAGCACCCACATATATGAAACAAATACTAACAGAATTAAAAGGGGAAATAGAATGCAATGCATTCATTCTAGGAGACTTCAACACTCCACTCACTCTGAAGGACAGATCAACCAGACAGAAGATAAGTAAGGAGACAGAGGCACTGAAGAACACATTAGAACAGATGGACCTAACAGACATCTACAGAACTCTACACCAAAGAGCAGCAGAATTCACATTCTTCGCAAGTGTACATGGAACATATTCAAGAGTAGATCATATACTAGGACACGAAAAGAGCCTCGATAAATTTTTAAAGATTGAAATTGTACCAACCAGTTTCTCAGATCAAAAAGGTATGAAACTAGAAATAAATTATGCAAAGAAAATGAAAAATCCCACAAACACATGGAGGCTTCACAACATGCTCCTAAGTAAACAATGGATCAATGACCAAATAAAAACAGAGATCAAGCAATATATGGAGACAAATGAGAATAAAAATTCAACACCACAAAATCTGTGGGATGCAGTAAAGGCTGTGCTAAGAGGAAAGTATATTGCAATACAGGCCTACCTCAAGAAAGTAAACTTGAAATGGATCAAAGAACTGAATGGAAGTTATGAAACCATAAAACTCTCAGAAGAGAACATAACCAAAAATCTCCTGAATATAAGCATGAGCAACTTCTTCTTGAATGTATCTCCTCGAGCAAGGGAAACAAAAGCAAAAATGAACACATGGGACTACATCAAACTAAAAAGTTTCTGTACAGCAAAGGACACCATCAACAGAACAAAAAGGCATCCTACAATATGGGAGAATATATTTGTAAATGACATATCTGACAAGGGGTTAATATCCAAAATATATAAACAACTTACATGTCTCAACACCCAAGAAGCAAATAACCTGATTAAAAAATGGGTGGAGGATATGAAGAGATAATTCTCCAAAGAAGAAATTCAGATAGCCAACAGACACATGACAAGATGCTCCATTTTACTAATCATCAGGGAAATGCAAATTAAAACCACAGAGATATCACCTCACACCAGTTAGGATGGCCAGCATTGAAAAGACTAAGAACAACAAATGTGGGGAAAGGGGAACCCTCCTATGCTGCTGGTGGGAATGTTAGCTAGTTCAGCCATTGTGGAAAGCAATATGGAAGTTGCTCAAAAAACTAAAAATAGAAATACAATCTGACCCGGGAATCCCACTCCTAGGAATTTACCCAAAGAATACAACTTCTCAGACTCAAAAAGACATATGCGCCCCTGTGTTTATTGCAGCACTAAGTACAATAGCCAAGATATGGAAGTAACCTAAGTGTCTATCAGTACATGAATGGATAAAGAAGAGGTGGTACATATACACAATGGAATACTATTCAGTCATAAGAAAGAAACAAATCCTACCATTTGCAACAACATGGATGGAGCTGGAGGATATTATGCTCAGTGAAATAAGCCGGGTGGAGAAAGACAAGTGCCAAATGATTTCCCTCATTTGTGGAGTATAACAACAAAGCAAAACTGAAGGAACAAAATAGCAGCAGACTCACAATCTCCAAGAAGGGACCAGGGGTTACCAAAGGGGAGGGGTGTGGGAGGGTGGGTCGGGAGGGAGGGAGAAGGGGATTGAGGGGTATTATGTTTAGTACACTTGATGTGGGGGTCACGGGGAGAACAGTGTTGCAGAGAAGGCAAACAGTGAATCTGTGGAATCTTACTACACTAATGGACAATGAGTGCATTGGGGTATGGGTGGGGACTTGATAATATGGGTAAATGTAGTAACCATATTGTTTTTTCATGTGAAATCTTCTTAAGAGTGTATATCAATAGTACCTTAATAAAAAACTTTTAAAAATATGAGGCTAAGAAGAGGAGTACAGGAGCAATGATTGAGAGCTCTGAAGGCCCCCTAAAGAGCTCTGGATTATAATCTGTAGATGATGATGAGTCACCTAAGTAGGGAAAAGACATGGTTTAAATATAAAGCACTACAGTGGCTATGTGTAAAGTGCATTTAAAGGAAATCACACTGTAGAATGAGACACATTATAGGAGGTTGTTGCATCAGTCCAGGTGAGAGATGACAAAGACCTGAATTAAGACACTGGTGGTTAGAGAGGAGGCAATGGATTTGCGTACCATGAATGAAGGATGACTAGCTTGGAATACAGGATAAAGAATAAGGCCACCCAAATTATGTAATAAATATTAGAAGAAGAACAGTTTTGGAAATGGGGGGATCCCATGATGATGATGTGTTCACCTTTAGATCTGCTAAGTGCCTGAAAGCCATCCCAGTCAACATAAGAAGATCATAAAAGCAGTGATGAAATACCTACCTATTAGTTGAAATCACCAAAGTACATGAGATCACTCAGGAATAGTATGTATAGCAAGGGGAGAAATATGTGAGAAAACTCTAGAGGGTAGGGGTGGGAAGAAGAGAACAGGAAGGAGACAGAGAAGCAATGGTTATAGAAATAACAGACACCAGGAGAGTATGATATTCTAAAATCAAGGTAATAAGCGTTTAAGGGAGTGTCAAATGAAGCAGAGAGCAACAATAAAGCCAGGACTGAAAAACATTCAAATGATTTAGTAACTTGGATGCCACTGTTGACCTTAAGGAAAATAATTTGAATAGTGAGATGGAGGTAGGAACCAGACTGCAGTGGCTGGGGGTTGAATGGGTTGGGTGGGTAAGGCAGTAGAGACAATGAGCACAAATTATACTAGTGAGAGCCAAAGAATTAGAAAGAGAGAAAACATTACATAGTAGCCTAGAGAAAAATGTGAGGTAAATGGAGTTTGTAGATAAAGTAGAGTAAGGGGATAAACAAACATAAGAAGGAACTGATGAAACACTGGAGGATGAGCTAATGAGTGCACAATATTTTCACCATACGCATCTTCAATGTAAGCATATTTACTGCAAGTCTTTTTACTGAAAACACATTTGCTGCATAACTAATTGGCCCAAAGGTAATTTTATCAGAAAATATAAAAAATAAGTGGTTGACAGTCCAGTTTCATTTTTTCATCAATGCAGTACTCCTATTTTTATGTTATATAAATCAGAGCCCTCCAAATAGTCTATACAGTTGTGCAGTTTTGAACTCTCATTTCCCAAGGAACCTTGGAAGTCTGTCAATGGACATGTGACAATATACCAAGATCAAACGACAGTGCAGAAGGCTTTCATGATCGATACAAAGCCCAGTTAAAATGTGCATCCTAGTATTTGTAAATTGTTATTTCTCTTAATGCGGGAAGAAAGTTTACCAAAAAAAGTAAAAGTGTGATGCTGAACAAGGAGACGAATCAACAAGTAAAAATACAATATATAATACTGTGAACAAAAGACGTCAAGATTGGACAACCTAGAAGAAATGGACAAATTCCTAGAAAAATTTAGCCTTCTAAGATTGACCCAGGAAGAAACATAAAATCTGAACAGACCAATTACCAGTAACAAAATTGAACTGGTAATCAAAAAACTCTCAACAAACAAAATTCCAGGACCAGACGGCTTCACAGCTGAATTCTACATTTAAAGAAGAGCTAATACCTATCCTTCTTAAAGTATTTCAAAAAAGTAGAAGAGGAGGGCATACTTCCAAATTCATTATAATACCAAAGCATCACTCTAATACCAAAACTGGACAAAGATACCACAAAAAAAGAAAATTAGAGGCCAATATCCCTGTTGAACATAGATGCAAGAATCCTCCACAAAACATTAGCAAACCAAATTCAAAAATACATCAAATGGATCATCCATCCTAACCAGGGATGAAGGATGGTACAATATTCATAAATCAATCAACGTGATACACCACATCAACAAAACTAAGGATAGAAAACACATGATCATCTCAATAGATGCTGAAAAGGCACTTGACAAAATTCAACATCCATTCATGATAAAAACTTTCAATAAAATGGGTATAGAGAGTACATACCTTAACATAATAAAGGCCATATACGACACTTACACCAAATAACTGGTGTTGGGAAAACTGGATAGCTACATGTAAGAGAATGAAACTGGATTCCTGTCTAACTCCATACACAAATGTAAACTCAAAATGGATTAAAGACCTACATAAGACATGAAACCATAAAACCCTTAGAA